TAGTAATAACCTACGATAAATTAGTAATAAACTAGAAACTACGTAGTAATCTCTTGTTGTTTCACTAACTAAATCATTTGTTTGTCACTTAGTGCTCCAACTACGAAAATTCGATCTCTGAAATGTCAACATTCGTCCGCAAAGGGTTAATTGCTAATCCCACGTTCATGTAACATTCTAGATATATACAACACAAATCCAAAGTAAAATTTACAAAATCGAATCTCTCATTCTCCCGTCAATTTGACGCAGACTGAATTTTATAAACATTATATGGTAAACGTTTTATTCGGTTTTCGTTGATCCAATTACACGAATATGAGTCCTGATTGTCTATTTCTGCATCTACAATTTCCAAAATCTAAATGAACGAATATCAACTTCCCCAGGAACAATAGAACAAACTGTACAATAAATGCCCGTAAACCTAGCGTTGATCGATGTTTAAAAATGTATCGATACAATCACCGACGCCCGCGTTTCCAGTAGCCGAGATTAGCCGGCGTTGAACGTGTTAATTGGAAAACGGTTCGTTTCGCGGTAAAGCGGATTTTTCGAAGATGCGTGGATCGATCCCCTTGCGCCTGGTGGTTCTCGAAGGCATTTCCACGAACGGGCGCAATTGCATTCTAACGGCGTGAATATCGCAGCCTAAATCGCGAACATACCTCTTCGTCGCGGGTGAATAATGATCGGGCGGGGTGCGCGGGGAGGGGCGGGAGACCGGTGTTCGCGTTCGTGCGCGTCCCCGCGCGAGCGTTTCGGAAGGGCGGCGAGGACACGAGGCGAGGAGATGGCGGGACGATCGTAGCTTATCTAAGCAAATGAATACGACGAAGCTTCATTTCGTCTGATGCATTGTAATGAATGCGCAAAGTGTATCTGAACACGCTAGCCGCACGATAATAGCCGCATCGCGACGGTCCTTTCGGCTATTACACGTGTCAGGGGACAACGTATGCCCAGCCTCGTTAAGTATCTGCTCTGTGTTAGTCTCGCCGGGAGTATTCTCATGCTGTTAACACTTTACCGAACGGATGCCTATTAACCCTTAGCACTCCACATAGTTTTGTGATATGTCAGCAACTCCTGCCAATTTTAATGGTAGTCCTACTGAGAATTAATAATGTTATAACATTTCTTAGACCTTCAATTCCCTTCTTAGTACAAACTCTGTATATTTGGAAGATCTAATAATCTTAAGTATTTTAATGAATTTTAAGAAAACTACCTTAATATTAAATCTGATGCAATATTGGAGCCTACAGAGTTCAAAGGGTTAACCCTTAGCATTACACATAGTTTGGCGATATGTCAGCAACTCCTACCAGTTTTAATGGTAGTCCTACTGAGAATTAATAATGTTATAACATTTCTCAGACCTTTAATTCCCTTCTCAGTACAAACTTTCTATATTTGGAAGATCTAATAATCTTAAGGTAGTTTTCTTAAAATTCATTAAAATATTTAATATTAGAACTGGTGCAATATTGGAACCCACAGAGTTCAAAGGGTTAACCCTTAGCACTCCAAACATTTGTCACTAGAAGTATTCAATTTATTTTATGAGATATAGATGACATTTTTTCCAACTTAACCCTTTGCACTCGAGAATATTTCTCTCAACAAATATTCATTATTTTCTGATTAAATATCAATGATATGTCTTACAACTAACATAAAGAAATACCTTGCATAAATTAAGTGACAGAACTAGTTTATTTCGATGTTCCATGTGTCGATACATTATATAAAATTTGACATTGAATTCTAAATTTCATCATTTTCTTCGGTCAAACCAAATGGCGATTGAAAGGCGCTCGAGTGCAAAGGGTTAATTAGAAGTGCTACGGGTTTCCGTGAATGAAACTAGAGCAGAATACTAATTTCAATAGAAACTGATTATCCAAAGCAGTGGACTAAAATAGAAACCGAAATGGCGGAAACTACAGAAGGAATTACTCCAAAGTACACCAAAGACTAAGCATAACCATCCGAATCTACTCGAACCATTACAAGAACACGTTACAACAAAAGCAACAAGAAGCAATCAACAACCTCCTGAGCCAAGTACCAAACTTCCGTTCGCTCTTCGATCGAGAACGCGGCTCAATCGCTGAAACAGAATTCTTCGATGTCCAACGTCTCTCCTGCAGGTAATACCTCCGCGCAACTACTCTCAGAATGCTAGCGATGCGATTCCTACGGCAGACGTCTTCATCGACGCCGAATAGAATCCCCGGCCGCGTTTCGAAAAGTCTCGCGAGCGGGCCCCGACCCTCTCGCAAACGCGCCGCGACACACTTCGCCGAACAATGCGTCGCCGCGCCGTGCGCGCGCGCGCCGATCCCCGCGACTGATACAAACATTAAGTATAATATCATTTCATTACGTTCAATTTAATTAACGTCAATCATGTTAATTGCCAACCGGTCTCCGCGGAAGGGTGTGTAATTACCTCGTACGATGTGATGCTCGCCCGTTGGCGAACGGCTGGGACGAGAATTCGCTCGTTTTCGACCGCGGTACCAGCCTGGCAATTATGAAACACGGCACGCCGAGCGCCGGGGAAAGGGCCGGTGGGCGGGGGGAAAGTGAGAGGGGAAACAACGGAACAGAACCTGAGGTACCTACCACTGTCCGGACGATAATGACCAATTGCCGGTTTAAAGAATGAACTTCGACGAAACGAACGCTGTTTATGTACCTGCGAACGGCGGAATGGTCTAATTGATGCGCAGGGTGTTTCTTCGATTGTGTGGACGGCAGAGGGACTATTTTCGTTAGAGAAACTATGTGGAAGTGAGAGAATGTCTTCTTGTGTGTATCAGTTTTGAGATCGTTGTGGTTGGGAGATTGAAAGGCTTGTGACGTTCGATGGGAGTGTCGATAGGATGATTGGTAGGAGGATTTTGGGAGGTTTATTTATATTGTTTATTGTTTTTTAATGGAACTGATAAATATACTGGAATGAATAGTTTGAAATCAATATATTGGAATGAATAGTTTGAAATAAATATACCGAAATAAATAGTTTCAAATAAATATACTGAAATAAATAGTTTCAAATAAATATACTGGAATAAACAGTTTCAAATAAATATACCGACATAAATAGTTTGTAATAAATATACTGAAATGAATAGTTTGAAATCAATAAACTGAGATAAATAGTTTGAAATAAATATACCGAAATAAATAGTTTCAAAAAAATATACCGAAATAAATAGTTTGAAATAAATATACCGAAATAAATAGTTTCAAAAAAATATACCGAAATAAATAGTTTGTAATAAATATACCATAATAAATAGTTTCAAATAAATATACCGAAATAAATAGTTTGATTGCTAATGATTTGTTGTTACGGTTGTTATATTATTATTTGATTAATAAATACCCTTGTCCGACGGCAGTTTTCTTGTTGCAAGTGTTTTCTAGGCAATTAACTTCGGTTTGACATTGCTACAGAGAGACGATGCGTCTGACTGTGACTTGCTGTTTCCACTTTTTGTGAATATCGATGCACGTAGTGTGAAATTTTGGAATTGGTATTTTATGAGATTTTGTATTCCGATATATCTTTTATATTTCTTAATTACATAATTATATTTGTTCCAGTTATTTGTCCAAGTAGATTAATTCTTTCGCGGCAGTATTTTTGTGAATATCGATGCACATAGGGTGAAATTTTGGAATTGGTATTTTATGAGATTTTGTATTCCGATATATCTTTTATATTTCTTAATTACATAATTATATTTGTTCCAGTTATTTGTCCAAGTGGATTAATTCTCTCGTGGTTGTATTTTGGGAACATCCTGTATACCGGACGCCTTCGAAGAAAGTCCTCGGAAATTGTATTAATTGCACATCTGTGTAATTGAGAGCCAGTTTCGATCATCGGGGGATAAACAAACCCGGTGTGTGTGTTTACTTAAGGAGCCGAGCGTTTATCTTCGGTGGTCTGGATCGCAGATCCACGATTCGAGGTCGTAACGCGAACGCCTGGCATTCTTTTTTTCGAGAATGTGCGATATCTCTTTTTATGAACTGCTTATAAACTTTTTATGAACTCGCCGGCTCGATCGGCAGACCTTTTGCTCGAGTTTCTCCTTCGCATTACCTTTTATCGATTAGATTGTTTTCGCGTAACTTCGGAAGCGTCTTTTTCTCCCGTCGCCGCAAGAAGAAATTGTTGTCAATTAATCGATTCTGTATATTTATAAAATTCTGCCGTTCGAACGACTGGTTCGCGGCAGTGTCGGTTACGTCGAATATCGTTAAATATACGTTGAATAAAACGTTTTTTCGGAATCGGGATCAAGGAAAATGCTGTGTCGCATTGTGCGTTGCATATTCATGACAGCCGCGTGTACGTAAACTCCTCAATGCGCTAATGATTACCGGCCCCTCCTCCGTTTCGTATCTCAAATGTTCCTCGACGGATTTTACGAGTTCGCTTACGAAAGTCCCACCTACACGATCGGTGTAATATTCTCGTCATCCTGCCACCGTATCTTCCTGTTGCGTTCAACCTCGAACAATCAATTTATCTTTCGAACGCGGCGACTCTAATTGCACCTGCAGCCGCGTTAAACGTAAAAACAGCGAAAATGAATATTGATAATTCTCCGGTCGAATGTGAGTAGATGAAATTTCTTGCGTCGATCGGGAGTTCCGATACGTTACAAATTTACATGTTACCATCGTCTCGGCGAATTAACCTATCGTTCGACCACAATGAATCTAATTAGTCGCGTAACGGCGGTAATTGATCATCGGAAAAACATCGGATCGAGTGCCGTTCGGACGCAGCGGGGTTAACAGGATAACTCATTAACTCGTTAATAGTGGAACGATTAGAGGACGTTATCGCGCGGAAATGGCGGACGGTCCGCTCGGGAGGAATAGGTATCGGTGTCTCAGAGCCGCTAATGATAATTGAACCGGCATCGATAATTGGCCGTGGATAAATGCCCGTTTCCGTCGAGTCTCACCTGCGTTTCCGTGAGGTGAAGGGAGGACGAGAACTCCGCTCTTTCGGCGATCGTCAGGTACTGCTTTTCGCGGAACTTTTTCTCGAGGGAGAGCAGCTGTTGCGTGGTGAACGGCGTCCTCGGCTTTCGGTTCGGCTTGTGCTTCCTCAGGGTGCACCTGACTGGACCCGGACCTGGCCCCGGCAGCCTCAAGTCGCCTGAAATCAGTAGGAAAAACGCCCTGTCAGTCAAGCATGATTTAAGGGAATCTAGAAAACAGACGATCCTCGGGAATTAGGAGCTATCGTTGACACTAGAACTAACAGATGGGTCGAGATGACCAATTCCTAACTGCTTCTTTTACGATTGCTGCAAAGGTACTGATTCTTCTTCGACAAATGATTAATACTAGAACTAACAGGTGAGTTGAAATGACCAATTCCTAACTGCTTCTTACGATTGCTGCAGGAGCACGGATTCTTCTTTGAAAGATAGTTAATACTGGAACTACCAGAGAGGTCAAATGATCAATTCCTAACTGTTTTCTACGATTGCTGCGAAGGTACAGATTCTTCTTTGAAATATGATTAACTTTTAAAGTAACTTTTAAAAATGATTCCTTCTTTAATAATAATTAATAATTAAAAACCTAACAGATCAGTCTCTGCGAAACTACTACAGAAATTGATTCAGCGACAGGCAATCTGAACGATAAATCAACAGAAATCTCGATAGTAGCACTGTCGGAGTTCCCATAGAAAAATTTCCAAAAATCAGCATGACCCACCCATACGAAACGTAATTCCTAATAATTATGCTTAAATATTCACTGCGACGTGACGTCAATAATATCATCGCCATCATCATCATCTTCTCGTATCTTCGCGAAGAAAAAATATTATCAATATAAGCGGGTAATAATTCCTGTGTTAATTCCGGCTCGAATAATCTATCCTCACTCATCAATATCCCCGACGAAATAGACGGACCTATTAAATTAGAATAAACCTTTTTAACCGCTAATGAGGACTTACGATATCCATCCACGGCACGGCCAATAATTAGATCATGGATCTCGACAAATTAAATTTTTTCGTGCCTTCCGCAGTAATTGGAATTAATGGACTGCGCGGCCGTACTTTTTCATTCAAGGATTTCATCCAATCATTCAGGAGATGGAGGATATCTATATGTATGTACATATATACATAGATATATAGATATACAGATACATAGATATATAGATATATGTATAATATATATCGAGTTTTCATTAAAGTTCGCATTAGATTGCATCTGACGCTGAAATCGGCGGGCCGGCAATAATAAACGACGGAAGATTAACGACACGCACCCGAGGAATGCCCAGAAGTGGCATAGAAACGAACGGGAACAGACCGTTCGGTTAATCGCGTCTCGACACCATAATAAAATATCCCCGGGCCCGCTTCATTACCGCGAACACGGCGGTCGTGGATTCGACGTTGCGCCGGCGCGCGCGCGCGCGCGTACCGGCAACAATGTAAATACCCGATCGCAAAAGTATCCGGTACACGATCGATCGCTGTATAACTGGAATAATTAACGCCGCCGATTGCGTTGCTCGCGCGCGGATTAAGATATCGGCCGGCGAATATTTGCACCGCGTTACCCATAACTCGCATGATCGTTGGCCAACTATGGCCGCCTGATAAATCGCTCAATGTCGTTGCAGCTGCGACCGAGGGAAAACATCTATGCGGTCACCTGTGTCTACAGGGTAGTTTGTAAACGCGTTCACCTGGTGAATCTGTGCATGGAAATAAATTGAGAATTTAACCCTTTGCACTCTAGAAGTTTTTCACCGGAGATATTCAGTATTTTCTAATGAGATACGGATGATAGTTTCTTAGATTGAATTAAGGAATCTTAATTCCTTGGAAATATTTCGTAGATTGATGCAGTGTACACAGTTTGATGTTAACACTAGGTTTACGGAACGCGTCAAATTGACGCATATTGGGTTTTAGGAATATTATTTTGTGAATGTTCACGCCGATTTTGATCGATGCGATCACACTGATATGTACCCCAATTACTATCAAATCTCCAGTTTCCACAATCTAAGCAAACGAGCATCAATTCTTTTAGGAATAATAGAATAAAGTGGACAATAAATGCCTGTAAACCTGGTGTTAATATCAAAGTTTACAGTTTTGCTGTGTCTAATCATTTGGTGACTTAGAGGCGCCTCTCGAGTGCAAAGGGTTAACTTATGAATTGCACGTCTTAGTTATAGGAATTAACGTTTCCAAGGAAATGTTTGAAGGATTCTCAATTAGCATTGGATTCTGTATTTTGTTGTAAATAGGCGTTCCTCGAGGAGATTCAAATTTTGGCGAATTTCTATTGGCACGAGTTTGAAGATGCGAGATGTAGAGAAGTTAACCCTTTGCACTCTAAAGTTTTTCGATGGGATACAGAAGATGCTCTTTGAAACTAATTAATGAGAAAACATACATGAATTAAGAAGGATAGTTATTTTATTTCAATATTGCACGTATTGATGCATTATACAAAGCTTAATATTATACGCAAGACTTTATAATTTTGCTATATCAAATCAAGTGGTGATTGAGAGGCGCCTTTCTGGCCCCAAAGAATTGTAAAATTGAAAATTCAATATTAAATTTTATATAATATACGAACACATAGAACATCGAAATAAAACAGTTCTGTCACTTAATTTATGGTATTTCTTTGCGTTAATTGCAAAAAATATTGACATTTCATAAATAATGAATATTCATTGAGAAAAATATTCTCGAATGCAAAGGGTTAAATATTGAATGTCTTCGATTATTTACAGCTTGAAGACTAGTATACACAGGTTCACAAGAGTTCTTTAATTGTTTACGGACGAAGATTCTTCAAGGTACACAAAATCTTCAGCAGATTAGGCCAAATTATATCTCGCACGCTTAAACAATACAGAAAAATGAAACTATGTGATCCCTTGTTGAGTTATTAAATCATTCGATACTCAGTATTCTCGATTCTCAATTCTCAATCCTAAATTCTCAACTCAATAAAGTTTGCCCTCGGCAAAACGTCGACATTCGTCCGCAAAGCATTAATTCTTCACATACCGAAGATTCACCTGAAGCGTTATATTTCCGAATCACCCCGTGTAACAAGAGGGAAACGCGAGATAAAGTGAAAGAGCAGCAGAAAGAATGTCCAATTAAACGTTTCCCTTTCCGCGACTCGGTCAAAGTATCCACAGATGTTTACGAATCGCTTATTTAACGTCTATTTATAAACGATCGAAAGCATCGCAATCCTCGTTACGAAGAGATACTTCTTTCGGAAGGCGCCGCGAAGTTACGAGCCTCGTCGTTCCCCGTTCGAAGGAGGAGAGAGCGGGACGCGGTGAAACCGTTGGAGGGGCGCGGTGGGGGGAATAA